GATCACCTTAGCCTCTGAAGACTTGATCTACTACAGCCTACGACCTACGACCTACGACCACGACCCCAGTGTACTGTTTAAACGTCAATCCCCAACTTCTGTTAGCAGACCCTACTGTCGGATAGCTGACCGTAACAATTAAATTATTATTCATAAAAATGGGCTTAGGCTTGTGTATTAATATATAATATGTAACGATAGAGGGGTTGTCACTAGGTATCAAAGAATGTCCGACAAGTGATGAACCCTTTAGACCTCCGTCGAACCAGCCGTATCCTCTTCCTTTTGCTTTCCGGCTAGCTATCGTCTTCGAAGATCTTTGAGTAGAAAGATGAGGGCGAGAATAGTGCCGAATGCTGTCAATCCCACAGAAAACCAGAGAGTACCCCGATACCCATGAAGCAAGTCTTCCTTGGTGTGCCCGCCATTGTTGATCTGAAGCTCAATGGTACCAGCGAAACCAAGACCTAGCGATATACTGTAGACAACAATCGTCATGATGACACTGGATCCCATACCCTGGTACTCTTGAGGCACCGCGTTCGCGAAGATGATCGTGGCAGCAGGCAACGATGAGTCCATGGCAAAAGTGGCGATGATGGTGGCGAAAAAGAAGTAGGTCCAGTACGTCGAGTCTATGGGTCTCAGGGCCTGGAGAAGCGAGGTGACGAAGTAGCAAAGCATTGCAAACAACATGATGGACGAGGCTGGAACCTTGTTGATTATTTTGCCGACGATTAATGCTGCTGCTATGCCTGTGACGACGATAGGGGAGAGCCATGCAGCCAGTTGAATGGGCGTTTGGCCACCGACGTTGAGGCATATTCGGACGACATAGAAAAGCTAGACACGTCGTCAGTCTGGAACAGTCTCGGGGCGAAGACTAGTACCTACCCAAATGCCGAATGTGGACCAGCCCGCTGCTGTACAACCAAAGACGAAGGCTATGTCAGTAGTGAGGACGGCAACAGGTAGGATTGGAAAGCGAGCTACGCGAAGCTCGATGTAAAAGAATGTCGCCAGGAAGAAGAGACTGAGGATCAGGCATACGTAGACGTAAGGTTCAGCCCACGTAGTGACCAAGCTCTGATTCCAGGCGAAGTTGAACAGAACCAGAGCTATCACACCGCTTGCGCCACCCGGGAGATCAAGGCGGTCCATGGTGTCGCGAATCGTTCGTCGCTGCTTTTGCTCGCCCTCGTCAGGTATGTTTGGAACTGCGACGAGAGTGATGACGAAGACAACGGCGACCCCCAAAGCCTGACTCCAGTAGATCCATGGCCACCAAGCCATGGCAAAGAGGGGCCCAAAGAGGAGACCTGCCATCGCACCGAGAGGGGCTGATGCAGCGAACCATGCGAATCCCATGTCCCGATTGCCCTGGGAGAAGCATTTGCCCATGAGGGCGAGTGCATTAGGCACCGTCAAGGCAGGACCAAGGCCCTGTAGAGTACGAGCAAGGATGAAGACGGGGTAGCTGGAATAGACAGAGAGTCCTGCCATCATGCTGGTCAGAGCAAGCCAGCCCATGCCGATGGCGAAGATTGCCTTATTGCCAAACTCGTCACCAAGACGTCCTCCGATCAAGATGAATGTACCTAGCGTCAAGCCATAGCCCGAGACTATCCACGAGAGGTCACCGGGTTCCGTCACACCAAAGGTCTCTCCGATTATTTCGGGCGTCGTGAGGCTGTTGCATAGGCCTAGCTGATTGGTGAACATGGATGAACACACTGTCATGATGAAGATGATCCTCCGAATCAAGGAGAAGCCATCGGCAATGTAGACGTGCTCATCTTTCGCAGTCTGGACAGAACCTATCGATAGATAACGCGTGAGTTAGTCCACATGTTCACAAGGCCCCGAGCTTTGGCAGGATGTCTTTTGAAAACTGCTTACCGTCATCATCATGCTTCTCTGGTGGGATTGTGACATGATACGATGCAGTCTCCTGCACTTCTGGAGACGAGGCGGCCATTGCGAATCGAACTGAAGGTTAGTCGGCTGTAGCGATAGGCAAAAAGGGTTGCTGAGGAGAGAAATTTTGAGAGTAGGTGGCTGGTATCGTCCCCAATGGCTGGATAAATAGTGCAGACCTCCTCTATTATAACACCTTCTACGACAACCCGCATGGACAATTGAGCGTAGGGGTCACTACAACAAAGAGATTCACGGAACGTGAAGAATGAGAGCGGGCCCCATACGACCTGTTTGACAGTGCAATGCGGTTTTCTTTTGATACAGTCAAATTGTGCATTTGTCAGCATCCATTTCGGGGCCACTGACTGATTGGCGTTGTGCCGTGTGTAATACCGTGAGTATGGTGTGATGTCCATCCCATCACCTACCAAACATCAATGCAATCAATATCATATGGGATTGCGGCCATAGGGCTTGGCGATCAGCCGCCAAAACCGGCATCCCGCGTCACCTTCCGCGACATTCCATTTCGTGCACTGACAGGACTTCGAACTGCCGTATCGCTGGGAAGGCCGCATTGCACTGGAATAAGACGTGTATGTCGCTTGAATGCTCACGTTAAGCGCTTCCCATCGACACCAATTGCACACTATCACGATATGAGGCTGTGTAGCTTACGTACAAAAGAACAGAGCCGGAAAATAAATCCCGCCGATGTTCAGGGATATACCCCTGGAGGACTAGTAGAATTTGCATGCTAAGGCGTAACCGGCAAATTGTATTGTCATCTTTACCCATTTGCTGATTTCAAAGCAGGGTCGCTTGAACTCACCCCGATCTGACATCCCGGATGGCGAGACGATGTGATCACACGACGTCGCTATTCTCTTAGGGGAAAATAAAAATAAAAATAAAAATAAATGAAAATATAGATTTAAAGGGTTATATAAGGTGCGTAGTTCTTATAGCAGATAGCTAAGGCTAGGCTTCTTACTGTGCGTCAAGGTTTCAATGAGCTGCGTGTCTTGGAGCAGCATGAGGCCCTTGAATCCATCGCCGCCAAAATGCTGAGCGGTGGAGGGGTCGGCGTAGGGAAGGCCTGGAACGGTATAATCTTCAGGGGCTACAGAGCACAAAGGGACGATTGCCTACCTTCAGCGAGAGTGTACGTAGGTGCGCTCATGATGTATGAAGAGGTTGAAACGCTTGAAAGAGACTGTTCAAACGGATGGTTAGGTGATAGCAAAATGGTAGGGGAATTGACAAGTTAATTGGAATATTCGGTCTTCCAGATAGTGTGTCACGGTCTATGGACCGGTGTTCGGCCTTCGGCAAGACCCTCAGCCACGACTCATTAGACCCACCAAATCCAATGGCGCATTTGCTAGAAGGTTCAAGGAATATCGACAAGGTCAATGGCAAGGTTATAAGAATGCCCAGGAAATAGGGAGGATATGGTTCTGTTTCCTATTCTTCAAGAAGATTTATTGTACTCGTAGTAGTAGGCTAGACCAATGGCATCGACCTTGTCCTAGACCCTTACATAGTGGATGAAGATGGATTTTAAATGGTCGACACCAGAGTCAACGTGTCCTATTATATACTAAGGGTGTGATTGTTACGGTCAGCTATCCGACAGTAGGGTCTGCTAACAGAAGTTGGGGATTGACGTTTAAACAGTACACTGGGGTCGTGGTCGTAGGTCGTAGGTCGTAGGCTGTAGTAGATCAAGTCTTCAGAGGCTAAGGTGATCA